TCTTACTGAAATGATGCAGAACATAAAATTTCTTTATATCACATTTTTTCCTTTGACAGTATATAGTCATATGCAAACATTTATTGTGTGCTAACACATCCTCTACAGAGAACACACCTGCAAATTTAATGCACAATTACTGTTTATTTAATAAATTTAACATATTGGAAAAAACAAGAAAACATAAAATGTGGCCTGTGCAAACATTATGGCACATAATGTTTTTTTTTTTTTCCAATATGTTAAACTCAGCAGATAAATAGAAATTGTACGTTAAACATTGCACAGAAAATGTCATATTTAAGTCTGTTCTCTGTAGAGGATGTGTTCACTTATGTTCACTTAAAAATCATACAATCAAAAATGTATACAATGTGATCAGAAATACAAAAAAACAAAAAAGGTCTCTAAGCTTCTGTGTTGTCCTCTTGGCAGAAAAGAACTTCTTATAAGTATTTCTTGTGTTCTTTGCATTGTCTGAGCCAAACTTGCTGAACTGTGATATTTGAGGGTTTCTTTGTAGTACAGTCCAAAATATGTCTAGCATTGATGCCAAAAAGCTTTTGACTTCTACATTCCTGCTCATACATGATAACTAGCAAAATTTCAGTATATTTAAGCTGTGCAAACTGTGACGGGGGGCAAACAAAGCAGCCTTAAAACATTTGCAAGAGGCATTGTTATTCTGTACAGAACTCATCTCTGCATTTGTTTAACTAATTAGCTATTTGAATAAGGTGTAATAAAAAGTAAAATAAATCTCATCTCAAATAAACATGCAGATGAAAAATGGAAAACTCGCACAAGCTGGATAAGAATGAGTTATGCTTTTTCAAATTTGTTTAAATTTTTTCATTTTTATCAGTACACAATCTAATTTCCTTAAAAACGGTAATCATCATACAGTAGACTGGAACTGGCGACCCCTGTAAATACAGTGGCATGCAAAATTTGGGCACCCTAGACAAAATATCTGTTACTTTGAATAGTTAAGTGAGTAGAAGATCCACTTTATGGAAAATCCATTTCCATAAAGTTAAAGATGAAACAAAACCCCTGTTTGACAGCAAAAGACCTTCAGGAAGGTTTAGCTCTACTGTGCTGTACTACGTGTTCCACTTTCCTGCATCCTCACCAAAATATTCAGCATCAGAAGTTTGCAAAGGAACATCTAAACAACCCTGAAAGTCGTGCAGATTGATGAAGTTAAAATAGAATTTTTAGAATTTTAGAATTCTTTCTCCCCCCATCACTCAACAAGATGCTAGTCAGCGCAGGCGTCTGTTAGCTGACGTAACAGATCTGGCGGTTGGCGCTTTCCTCCAAGCATGTTTGGCTGTCCAATGACGTTGCGTGAGCGGCAGTTTGAAAAGATGCAGTGGCTGGTTTCACAGGTCTTGGAGGAAGCCTGTGTTAGCCTTCACCCTCCTAGCGTTGCTAGTATCGTGTGATTGGGGAAGTCCTAACTAGTGGGTGGAATTGTAGATGACTTATTTGGGGAGAAAATTGGATAAAAATAAAAAAAAAAAATAGAATTTTTTAGTCACAATGATCAATGCTATGTTTGGAGAAAAAAAGGTGCAGAATTTCATGAAGAGAACACTTCTCCAACTGTTAAACACAGAGGTGGATCGATCATGCTTTGGGCTTGTGCTGCAGCCAGTCGCACATGGAACATTTCAAGAGGGAAGAATGGATTCAATTAAACACTAGCAAATTCTGGAAACATCACATCACACTGTCTGTAAAAAGCTTAAGAAAAAGTGGATGGCTTCTACAACAGGATAATGATCCTAAACACACCTCAGAATCCACAATGGACTACCTTAAGAGGTGGAAGCTGAAGGTTTTGCCATGGCCCTCACATTGAAAATCTGTGTATAGACATTAAAAGAGGACAGCCCAAGAATCTCACAGAATTATAACCCTTTTTCAAGGAAGAATGGGTAAAAAAGAGCTACAAAAAGCATTTATAAGCTGTAATACTAATAGTAAAGGTACTGTTACTAAGCAATGATCATGCAGGGTGCCCAAACTTTTGCTTCAGGCACTTTGAAACTGCAAAAAATGGAAATTACAAAAGCAGTCAGATCATCTTTTACTCACTTAGCTGTTCACAGTAACAGATATTTTGACCAGGGGTGACCAAGCTTTTACATACCACTGTCTATACCTCATAAACATCTGTAAATCTATACTTATATAGAGTCCAGCACAGTTTGGTGACACACCTGATTCAGCTCATCACTTAATTACTATATTGCTAGCTTTGCTAGAGCAGCTGCCAATGCCCAGCTCTCTACAGCGCACTCAAACTAGGTCCAGAAAGCAAGCAAGGCTGAGGCCAGAAGAGAGTGAGCAGGGAAAGGAGTGCGTGAGGTGCGAGACGGGGTACTTTGGGTCAGCTTTTGGGGCTTTAAATCCCGTTGGTAATTTGATTTTTATATGGTGCTTATGGTCTTACGAAAACTATGATCCTTTCCTCTTGTGGCATTAACCTCTGTGGTCCTGGCGTCTCTGTCCTTGGTGCTGAAGAAGCCAAACCCCCCATTCTGCATAAAGCTCTTGTTTGCAAATCATATCCCTCGGGCACTCGGGACTTTTAATCCTCTCTCCCATTTGCCTCATGCTTTCCAGACCGTTCAAATACATCAGCCTATGTGCATGAAGGTATATTTACAAGATAGGATCCATTCTCACCTGTATCAGCCTGCTGTCACGTATCCGCTGTAAGATTATGACGTAGAGGCCTCTGGGGCTGTGTAGCATTCAGCAGCAGATGGTACAGGATGATGTTATACAGTAGCAGATGCTGGTGGTATGAATGAAATGATTTAGAGAAGAATAGACAAGCATGTCCTCATCAGTAATCCCTGAAAGACTAAAACATGTCCTCCGCCCCACGCATGTCCTCTCTGTCCTTCAGGGTCCCCTCAGCCTTCATCCTCCACCGCTTTAAGCACTGGGGAAGCAGAACATATTGGTGTTGTGGCGCTATAGGGAGGTCTGGGGCTCTGAAGCCTGAGTAGCGCTGAAGGCACTGAGAACAGAACAATATGTGGCCATATTAACTTACATGCCTCTGTGGTGCAACTTTTCACTAAGAAAAGCTTCATCATTGTTTCCGCTGTGAAAGTCACAATTTTAAGAAGGCTGATTGAAATTCACACTGCAGTAAATAATTTTATTTCACCCTTCATTTATTTACTTTTGAGCATCAGAAAAAAAGCAGAAACCATAACCCTCATATTATCTTTGAGGTCAATTTGGAACCATTCAGTGTTTAATGTCTCTAAATAAATGACTGACATTTATTTGTGCTTCATATTTAATGACTTTTCCTAATTTAATGGGGTCAACTGGGTAAACATACAATTAATGTGATGATATGTGCTCAGTGTCCAACATTGTGTACTTATCAGTGTTCTTTGGGGTCAGTTTAGCCCCAGGCTGTTTTAGCTGAATAAAACATAAGAAACATCAATATTTTACACACATTTGTTTTGGTTGCTTTGGACGATATTCAGGTCACTATAACATGCAATTTTATAATATCCAAAATAAACTTTCCTCTGATTTAGGGCCCTAACCTACACACGTAAAACATGGTTCTTTAAGGGTTCTTTAGTAAAGAAAATGGTTCTATATAGAACCATGAACACTTAAGGAATCCTTTGCATGTTTAAAGGGTTCTTTGCATGGTGAAACGTTCTTCAGATTGATGGAGAATGCGCTGTAGATGGTTCTATATAGAACCTTTTAATATAGCACCCTTTAATCATGCAAAGGGTTCTTTGAGTGTTCATGGTTCTATATAAAACCATTTTCTTTACTAAAGAAGCCTTAAAGAACCATGTTTTTTTAACATACCTGCAGTAGTGCAAGAACCATGGATAGTTAAAGATAAAGATGTTAAAAATATGAAGATTGCAGGAGGGTTAAAAAATTACACAGAAGCTACAAACACTAAATATATCAATTGTTTAGCCCATCCTTTGCCCTTATTACAGCCTCTGTTCTTTTCAGAGACCGTCAATTTTTGCACACCTTCAAATGTCAGTCTAAGTTGGTTGCATTTTCTGCTTCTCAGGATTCAAGTAATCTCAAACACACTCAGCGATGTTGAGGTCTGGACTCTGGGGTGGTCAGTCCATTGTTCTTAGAACACCAGTAGCTTCTTCTTTTATTTGCAATTTTTCTTATTCTTTGTCTATTTCCTTTTCTCAGCAACAGCTTCTTGGCAGCTACACATCATGCTCACAATGGAAGGACACAGTGATCTGCACGTCGTATTTAGTTTTTAGTTTAATTAAGGATTGATGAACTGAAACAGGTATTGGATACTAACAGTAAATACAAGATTTCTTTGAGGAGAGCTTTGGAAATGGTTAAACAGACAGATTTTCACACATACAATCATAATATATTGTTTACTTGTATTTATCTAGTGTTGATGCTTAATATATATATTACTGTATAGATTATATACAGTATAGTATATAGATATACTTATCAGTATCTGTGTACATGTTCTGTGACTCATGCACTGTGAATGTGATTTCAGTATTGAAAATGTAAATCTGATCTATCCTTAAAGGAAAAAAATTATGTTGTGGATAATGTGAATAGTAAGCTTGCTCATGCCATGTAATTAAGCTATAGTAAGACTTTACTTGCGAGTATTTATCTGTGCTTTAGGCCATATGTTCAGAGTTGTGGGCCTGTAAATATTAAGTTCTGAGCCAGTTTCAGCATGTCTACTGTGACTTCTTTGTTTCAGCCAAAATGGTCATGTGATTGCTGGGTACAGTTTAAGTTGTGCACATACAGGAAGACAGCAGATGTGCTACAAAGTCATACAGAAACCAGTGACAGGTTCCCTGAATCTTGTTGTTTATCTCCCTCTAGTGGAGGAAGGCTTGGAGGCAGACATTTGCTGGCAAATGTTTTTCTGCACCCGTTTATGCACATATACATCTGAATGTTTATTTTCCGCGCAGGGGTGTGTTTCCCATGCTTCGTGGATGTGGTTCCAGTAAAAAACGAGGATGGAATGGTCATCATGTTCATCCTGAACTTTGAGCTGGCAGACCAGCAGGACAGAGGAGCAAACAGTTCACCACTAAAAGCGCGCAACGTCAAACTGCCCATTCCCTGGCTCACTAAAGGTGCTGTAGTACCACTCACTTACTCAAAGAGTATTAGGTTTCTTCTTGTCATATTTAAGACCCTGAGGTCTTAACTTGTCTTAAAATGATGGTTTAGCTAAATGCCAAATCTGTATAATTTTCCCCTTACCCCAAAAAAGATTGATCAGCCAAGAAGTATTTTATGTATAAAGTTTGCTTTTTGAGTTTTGCACTGCAGCTAGAAGACTAATGTAGCTTATAATAGTGTAATATAGTAAAGGAAGCTTATATGTCACCAAATAGCACTGTGCAAACTGCATGCATAAATCTCATTTCCCTCAAACTGTGTTGAATTTTTATCTCAAATAGACTTATGTGGTTTCTGACACTGTATTACATTGTGTTAACATAGAGAAAAAAAAGAAGAAAACATAGCTGGATGAGTACATCTAGGCTAAGGGGGGAATTGTGTAAATCAGATTCTTGGCAGAATCACTAATTTAAGTACTTAAAAATTTGCTTTTGCTTTATTAAAAGATACACTGATGCAGATGATTTTGAGAATGTTATTTACTTTGATGTACTTGCAAGAAAATGAATTTGCATTGTATATTTAGCTGTAAGAGGTTAGATTGGAATATAAACATATATAAAACAAATGAGATATATATATAGATATACAGAAAATATATACAGATATATATTTTTTATCATGTAATCAAACTATCATTAGCATGGTGACAAATTTTTTGTCTTTTCCAACCTGCCTAGCTTCATTTAGCTATAACAACATAATCCAACTCGGTAGCATTATGTTTTAGACTGCAAAGAACTCTAAACAATTGCTTTTTACCAGTGTTCTGTAAAGCCTGTCCAAACCAGCAATTGCTACAAAAGAACATACTTGTGGATGGAGCATGAATAGGTCAGTTAGATAAACTTTAGTAAATAAACTGTGTCTCTCAGCTTGCAGCAGACGCAGGTTCAGGCTTCCCCGGCCTCTGCTGCACCCTCTGAGCGGCAATAAGCAGTCTCTGCGTGATGATGCTGAGATGGGTCACATGCGTGAGATGCCTCACATGGGCCATGAGTCAGTGGCTCTGGACAAGCTGCTGTCCCTTCCAGAACGTGCTGCACTAGAGGGGCCTCCGTTGCTCCTGTGGGAGGACGAGCCCCCGTCAGAGTCTCTCTCAGCGCCGGCCCAGCCCCTGATCCAGGGCTTCTCTCAGTCCTCCCCCCGGCTGCACTGCCCCAAGCCAGAGACATCGCCCTCCAACTGCAGCATGTCCCACAGCCGCTCCTGCGAAAGCCTGTGCAGCATGCGCCGCTCACCCTCCAACGACTTCAACTGGGACAAAAAGCTGCCCATCAGGCCCAACAGCACAGGTGAGTGCACAGTTAAGTTCAAGTGAGTAACAGATGCTAGACTCTTAATGAGGGTCTTAGCAATTTTCAATAATAACACACATGCTGTCAGTTATGGTGCACTCTTAAAAATAACAGTTCTTAAATGTTTCATGGTTAGGATGTGTTCTTCTAGGAAAAAGTGATAATAAAAGGCCTGGATCATAAGTAATTTAATTATTACCCAATAGTTTGTCAAAGATAGCTAATAATTATATAATTGTTACTTGTGCAAGAATATGACTTACCTTTTGAATCTGTTTAATGACACAAATAATTAAGGCACTTTCAAATGTATCTTATTTAAGTGGGATAAAGAATAAGATATATCTTTATAAATGTGTTATAATGTCACAACTTTATAATCAGGGTCCAATGAATGATTACTAAAGTTTAAAACGTATATGTTAACCACTTTATAATGATTAAGCATTAAGGAAAAGTTTATGCATCTCAAAGTAGCACGATAGTTAATAATTATTAATCATTTAAAACAGGACAGTAATTTTGGAATATTTACATCAGTCCATTCATGATGAAATCCTTACACAGTGTAAAGGGCAGGAGGAATATGTAAATTATGTTTTTTTAAAAAAAATAAAAGACAACATATGGGCGACAGTGTATTTCAGTCCTGAGAGGATGTAGAAGCCAATTTTGGATCTCTGTTGTTTCACTGAATAAGAACAATAATGAGTCTCTAAATCCTTTGTGTTTGCTCAGGTACCATGCGTCGTAAAACCAGCATGCCCAACTCCACATCAGACTCAGACCTGATGCGTTTCCGTACGTTAAATACAGGTCCTGCAACATCGCACAACTTAATAGACTTCAAGCCGGACCCTTTGGTAACTCTCCCTCCGAGCGAAATTGACATCATTGCTCCCTGCAAACTGATCGACCGCACCCACAACGTGACTGAAAGAGTTACTCAGGTGAGTGGAACAGCTCGATTACTGAGCCTTTCATCTGAGATAGAAGCGGTTTTGTCAAACATTCAAAAAAAAAACTGCAGTGTCACTGGGTTACAGAGGAAATCAGTCTGCAATGGCGAAACTGAAAGAGTAATGTTCAAATAAGGTATATTTGTAGAAAAAGTTTATAATATAAAGGTCCCACCAGAAGTTCTAGAAAAGTAAAGCCACATTTTGTCATTTTTGTCAATGTCTCAAAAAAAAAAAAAATAAAACACAAGGCAAATATTCAGTATGTGCTTTATCTTTTAAGAATAAAGGCATGTATTATAGTCATTTTGGATAGATATACTGGACAAATCCACTCTCAAAACTTCAGATTAAATTTATTAAATTTAAAAAATGTAAAATTGTCCAGAAGTGAATAATAATGATCTGCAATAGGATAATTTCATTTGGCCAAAAAGTGTCTAGTTCACATGCGTGTGGACAGCCATCACTGAGTGAGGCCAAGTACAGGTGCATTGGCCAGGCAGTTTCTTTCGTTATGAATTTTGAATAGCTGATGACTGTGCCAGTCTCTGACATTCTGTAATGTGGATAAATGGGGCTTTGTGGTGGATGTAATACTGTAGAGGAAAGAGGAGGGAACCTCATCCCCATCCCTCACAGTACAGTTAATCCTGTAACACTCCTCTCCAGAGTCCTGGCCCACTTTAAGAGCTATTATCTCATTGATCACACTGACACAGCCACTGGAGGCCTAAGCATGAGGATGAAATCATACCACATGTTCATGTTGATCAGCGCATGTCTGTATGGAGTCCTGTCTCCCTGTTATTTACAATACTGTGCAAAAGTCAGAGACCACCCTTTCACTTACTTAATTTTCAGTCAGTACAGCCATTATGTACAAGTTATTCATTTTTCAGCCTTAGAAAAAGCAGATATTAAACAAAAAAATTGCACAGAAGCCTCAATAGGTAAATATAATATCATATTTTTGGGAGGCTTTCAGTTTTTCAAAGAAAAGATATTTATATCTCCAAAGTTCAGTCTTGGCAGTTGGTTAACCCCTTAACATTCCAGGTTTATTTCATACAAAGACTTATTATTCAGTAACTAAAAGGACTTCAGTGCAAACTAAGGAAGCTATTCTTAGGTTATAGAATTGTGTAATAAACCTTTGGGCATGTCAGCAGGACCATATTGTTTAGTGGTAAAATTTTCTGCTTCTTACCATCCAAGTAATCCCCGTTATAAAATCAGTCCAAAAAACCTTATTCTTAATTTCAGTATCAGGTGTTATAGTTCAAATTCTCTATATCCTTTTCTCAGTAACTGCCTCTTGACAGCTGAACATCCTTTCAGACTCATAGTAATGAGTCTTCTCACAGTAGATGGATGGACAGAAACACTTGTGGATTTTTTCAGATAAATAAGAACCGAGCTTGTTTTCCTGTTATCTCTAAAAGATCAAAGCTTGTCTGGTAGAGTTTTGATGGTCTACCAGATCTTGCATGTTAGTTAGAAGTCTCTTTTACGGGTAACATAATGTCAGTGACTCCTTTGGGAACAGATTTTGTTGGGAGAACCCAGTTGGAACTGGTTGGTTTTAAGACTGGAAGGATGGAAGATTAAAGTGGCAGAAGAGTGCACAGAAGTGAAGAGTGGAAAAATTTAATACTGATAGATTTGATATTATACTTAGTGCTGGATGCTTCTGTGTAATTTTCAGGTAATCATATGTTTCCTGCTATTTTCCTGTTTCTGAAAAATGAATAACATACTTAACGGCTGTTTTGACAGGAAATTTAATAAATGAAAGGGTGGTATTTGACTTTTGCACTGTGCTGTACACCACTTTAAAGGGTACGTTAGATAAAAAGCTTCCTTTTTCATAATGCTTACTTAACTCTCAGTGCCTCTGTGGTCTCCCACAGAATAGCCGTAACACTTCCGCCACTATGTACCAAGAGTAAACAGTTTCACATAATTCATAACACAGGAAGTGTTGAAATCACAGAAGTGTTATAGCCAGTGTTTTATTGTCTGAACAGTTTATAAACATTTAGCTTCCATGTTGAAAACATCTCTTTTTTAATAGTTACATTTAAAATGCATTTGGCTGTTTTTCCAATCAGAGCAGTGATATTATGTGTGGTTGTCATATCACACACTCCACTGTCCCAGTAATCGGTTTGTGGTCTTCATTTGGAAGTGAAACTTGTGTTAATAGAAGTAAGAAATCTAAATAAAGCATGAACTACTGAAACACGTTCAGTAAAACTACACACTTAAAAAAGATGCTCTTCAAAGCTTCTTTAGTTCTATATAGACCCATGAACACCCAAAGAACACTTTGCATAATTAAATGACTCTTTACATCATGAAAGAGTTCTTCAGGTTGATGGAAAATGTGTTACTTATGGTTCTATATAAAACCTTTTTGAAAAGGGCTCTCTATAGTGCCAATAATTGTTCTTCTATTGTTATAGAAATGCAATGTCAAAATTTGGAACATTAGAAGCAGCCTTCTTTTCCAAAAAAGGTTCTATATAGGACACTCTATAGTACATTCTCCATCAATCTGAAGAACTCTTTCACAATGCAAAGAACGCTTTAATCATGCAATGGGTTTTTTGGGTGTTCATGTCTATATAGAACCATTTTCTTTACTAAAGAACCCTTGAAGAACCATCTTTTTAAAGAGTGTAGTAAAACAAGGAGATAAGCAAGGCTCAGAATCCACACAGATTAGATTTAAGACTAGTGCTAGAAGGATCTACAGAAATGGCTTATTTGAAAAATACATGTGACTATTTAGTTCCTTAATGTAGTAATTCATTATTCTTGTCATACTATACAGTTTTTGAATATTTTTGATGGCCTGTTTATATTTTTATTAGTTATGAAGAGATGGCTGATGAGTTGTGTATCAGAGCTACATCATCATGTAAATTAGACAGGAAATAAATATTGTCTGTGGTGGATATTTTTGAACATTCCAGTACACAGTAATGAAAGTCGGCTCCTAGATAATGAAAGAGTTGTTGGTTTGGCTCTGTATGTCAGATTAAAATGCCAAATGTCAGCTTTAGTTTAAGAGTAGTTACACATACATTGGATGAACCATATAATTCTCAGTCTAGTCCTTGTGAGTCTCACAATCCACATCCACAATCCACATATTTGTTTTATTTCATGTCACTAACACACCTGCGTCTGAGGAGATTAAGAGTTCTGCAACTATTGTTAACCTGTTAGATGTGTGTTAGAAACTGGACTAGGTTAAAATATAGACTGGGTGGGCATCCTTGTGGACTGAATTGACAACCTCTGACATACAGGAATCATAGCACATTTATATCTCTTTAAAATCAAGGCCTGGCTGAAGTCTGACTCACAGACTTTATTAGATGCTCGATATCTTCCGTGGTGATGCTTTGTCAAACCTAATAAAGCTGTTTTCTGGTTCTGTTTGTTTAGTTCTTACTTGTTCCGAAGGGCTTTTCAAACGCCATTCCAAAAACTCAGACTCCGCTCCAACTTAAGTATGACAGTATAAGATATTGTTATGCTATAAGGTAAACTGCTATACACTAAACTGGATCTGAGCAGTTAAAATGCTTCTGTACACTTCTAGAATTTACAACTCATACCATTGCCGCCGCTGACAGTCACATCAGCAGCAAAAACAAATGAGTCAGTTTCACTAGCAGCCACCATGTTTCACACACAAGGTGCTTTGGATAATGAACAGTTCCCTTTTCTCAGACATTTTCTCTTTCCTTCAGGGGGCCCTAAATAATTGCTTATAAACCTTATTCCAAGAAACAACCCTGGTTCAATCACAAGTGGTCTCCTGAAATCAGGTGCTAATTCCTCACCCAATATAGAAGCAAAATATCTCAAATTAAAGCCCACATTTGGCACTTTAAAGGAGAATTCCCCAGGTTGTTCTTTTTTTGTATAATTCAATGCTTGAGGTGTAAACAAAGTCATTCAGAATGGTTTGATATAAAATGGTTCATTGTAGACAATCTTGCCATTTCAGATTTCTTCATAATGATGGTGATAGGAACCAGAGGTCACAATGTACACAGCGCAAACATAGCCATTTTTTTTTACTATCTGAAATGGCCAGTGAACTTCTGGATGTCTGTTTAGTATGTATATGTAACACTGATTATGTTAAAACAGTGGTAAATTAAAAAAAAAAACAACAAAAAAAAAAAACATGTTTTTGTTGAATACTATTTTGCCTCACAGAACCCTGCATGTAGCCCTCCAACATGATGGCATCTTTAAAATATGTTTAACAGTGTATTTGTAACTATTTCTTGTGATAAGGTTCTCTCAGGTAGCTTTGAGAGGCATTAACCAGATATCTGGTTCCTATCATCACCAAATCACCACTACCCCAGTGTAGAACAGAGCATGTCCTATCAAACAACTCTCGATGACCTTGTTTACATCTTAACCATTTAATTATGTAGAAATTTTGAAAAAATGCCCCCAGATTTATATGTGATACACGTACGGCAACATTCTAATATTCCTACTGATCGTACATACAAATGTTGTACTTTAGTGTCACCACATGGCCAACCTGGGTCAGTTTACTAAGTGAACTCTTATATACATTAAAAATATGGTGGTGTATATGTAGTGTAGATAGGTATATTAAGAAATATATTACACCTATTTTAGCATCACTGTCTGCCTCATTCATTTAGAATTGATTTAAAAGTTTTATTGTTTTTTTCAGAGCTCTTTACAGCTTGGTACCTTCATAAATCTCTAAATGCCTTATAGACTGTGTTCCAAATCGAGTTTTATGACCAAGTGCTGGCTGACTGCACAGCTCAAGAATTAGGCACAAGAAAAGGGGGGAGCAGCCTTTTTGTTTTTATGCTCCATAGATTTGGCACTCACTACTTATTCTTCAGGTCTCATCTACTGCCAGGAAAAAAAAACTTAAAACCAAAACCCTTTTACTGTAGAATTTAATGAGCATT